GTACATATCTATTTATCTTGCAATACTTTTAGAACACTCATTTTACGATGGAAATTTGTACATAATTTGCAAGGGAAAATCTACATGCTCTTGCAAATTTTATGGCAATATGTAGTAAATTATTCGTAATATTAACTGTCATAATAATTATCATTGTTATCAATGTCATGTATGGCTCAGTCGATTCAATTATTAAATTCGATCTCTCAAATCGACACAACTTGTATATCGTAAAAGAAAAGACATGAAGTTTTAAGAGAGCTTCAATATTCTTTTTCAGAATCATTTATAATATAATCGTTTAAGATTGTTTAAAGTAAAATGATAACATATAAACGAAGTATTTGTCGAATCATTACGAACAGTTGCAATTCGAAAACCGAATTGAATACTATATATATATATATATATACTATATATATAGTATATATGCATATATGTATATACCATATATATACCATATAATACACTATATATAGTATATATGCATGTATGTATATACCATATATATATACCATATACATACACTATATATATGCATGTATGTATATACCATATATATACCATATACATACACTATATATATATGCATGATGTATGTACCATGTATGTCTTTTATTCCACTGTATCTCTACTACAATTGACCGCAACATTCAAAAGTAGCAAGGAAATTCAAATTTGTGACGTACTGTATTCGCTCAGCTTTTTAAGTTAGTAAAAAATATATTTGAAGCGATCAGAGTGAATTTATTATCGATATAATACGTGTCAACACCTCTTATTTATATCCTAGTAAGAAGAATTTCTTTTATTATATTATTATTAAATAAATGGAAGACTAGACGAATGAGACAAATAAGTTTATCAATTTTTTCAATCATATTTATTGTACAATTACCTGCCTTGTGAATGCAAAAATCCTTTTTTTTTTAATTTTTTAGTCGAGTCTAGATTATAAAAAATATTGACTATAGAATATAAAAATAAGAAATTGAAGCTGAATTAACATGCATTCCAAAGCTGATTCTTTCGATTATTTCCAACCTTCAATTTTATTCTAAATTTTTAAACGTAGTTCACGAGAAGTTGTACATTACTTGAGCGAATGCTCTGATTTATTCGGGAGAATTTACAAATCTTTATTCACGTATTTCGTAGATTAAACGAGACACAAAAAAGAAAGGATTTAATTTTAAAAAACACAATTTTAAAACTTACACAAATTAATTCTTTCATAAATGAAAATTTGACTGTTTGTAGGCGAAAAACTATCACCACGTAGCGGTGAAACAGTGAAACTAATCGTTTGAAATAAAAATCATAAATTTCTTTATTTTTTTATATATATTTTACAATATTTAAATATATATCAAGAAATTATATATTTTCTGGTATTAATAAATAAAGCAAGATACGATATAGCTGATTAATATTAATCAAAATTAATATTTTTCAATTTATTTAACTTTGGCGCAGATTAGTACTTTACCGATAGATAGCGTCATCATACTTAAAATCAGGGCATTTTACACTGATTGATGCGATTAATTAATTCTGAAGAAGAAAAGGCAATTGTATAAAAAAAGTTCCTCGGGAATTAAGAATTTAATTTAGTTGCCAAAATGTCAAAAAATTCCACTTCTAAATCGATGAATTTGATTTTTCAATTTCATCATGAAAAGATTAATTCTATCTTTCTACCACTACGTGGCGATAGTGTTTCAAGTGTGTTCGAAACATAAATCGATCAAATTTTTATTTGCAAGAAAAAACTAATTAACAAGATTAATTTGTGATTTTAGTTATATTACAGTGACAACATTTTTCCTTCACGTTATTTGAGCTTCAAGAACAACATATAGAAATGTACAAATTTGTCACTGATTATACTGATTAAACTGATTACATATACAGCTAGATATATATACAGTTCATTAAGTTAAACTACTAATATAAAAAAAAATAAAATTTCGAGAGTTTTATAACTTTATATTTTGTTAAAAAGATTCAATAAATGTTCAATTAAAGATTATTAATTAATTTATAATTTAATGGATAAAGGAGGATTAATATATCGGTATAAAGAACAGTTTCTTCTTTATCGACAGTAAGTTTTGAAGAAAATTATTTATCGATCAATTTTAAATAACAATTTTTTTAATTTTCCCATAAAACAAACATGGAGAATTATTAGAACACATCGATACTGTTACATACCATGGCTACTTAATAAGGTAAAATTAATTACTCTTTTACAATTACAGACGAATAATTCAGGACCATAAATCTATACTTTAAGTAATTATTAGAAATTAAAAGTCATTGTTGATATAGTAGATGCAAATATTCAAAGAAGTACTGGCTGTACCTGCGATATTCCTTTTATATTTCCGGCTGATTATTGACCTTGAGCTTGACCTTGGATGTATCCTTAACGCAAGAAGTAGTACGAAGATAATCATGTCGAACGAGCCCTGACCTAACCTATTCTAGGCTATGTCTCCGTTCCTTGTATACAGACAAAGCCTAGGAGAGGCTAAATCAAGTTACTCTGTCCCGTAGAAACAAACATCACATCGGCGTTTTGTATCTTGCTACGTGCATTTTTTTTTTTATGTACTTTTCCATGCATATATTTTATAAACCGATTTTTCATGGAAATAACTTTTCAGGTATATCCTCCTTTTCTAACGTTTGATCACTGTACCAATTGTTATCTCTTTCTATGTGCAATGCAGCTATAAAGAAAAAGACAATCTTGCACACGCAATTTTTTCAACGGAGCTCTTTTTGCGACAGTGCTCCAGACCGGACGGCACAAAGAAAGCGTGTCATGCCTAAAAATACGCGAGGCACGCAGGTAGATGTGAAGAGGTCGTAGGGACTGGGAGAGAATAAAAAAGGTAAAGGAATTGCACAAGAGCAGTGATTTGGTATTCAAATCGTTAGGCATGTTCCCGCCTCTCTCGCAGCACAGGTCCTCCTCCCATAGCAATAATGCGAAGGCCTTCTTCGTTTAAATGTTTTCACTTCTTGTTCTTCCTCTACCTCCACGTCCTCTATCCTTTGCCCCTCCCTCCTATCTCTTCGCGTTCTTTTCTTCAGCCGTCTCTTAACGTTCAATCTTTTTTACCCCTTGTCGCACTCTTTACTTGATCACCTTGCATTCATTTGCATGGAATTATCATTCTTGTTTGTATTATCATTTTTTTTAAATAATACTCTAATTTTTTAAATTGTTGCTTAAAACGAGAAAAATCTAGACAAACAGTCGAATCTACTGTAGTACTTTCATGCAAATGTCTTCGCACGACTTCAATAATATTTGCAAGAGGAATTCGATCAATTCATACTAATATCGTTCACTTCCAGAGAGTAATGTCTTCGAGAAACTTCAATGCGAGAACGAAGCAGAGGCGTGGAGACTTCAACGACCGCACGTGCAATATCCGAGCAGCACGATTGCATGAAGTCAAAACCATCAAGAGGCTCTTTATTTTGTATTTCCGAGTGTTTCACTTTCTCCTGCGGCATCCGTGCGCTATGAAATGAAGTTGTTCCACACGGCCGTCTCCGAGAAATAAACGAAACAGCGTTCGTGTCGACGTTTCGTCACGGCTACGACTTGCACAGTCGCTCAACCGGATCCCGAACATTCATCAGAAGAAAAGTTTTCTCATTTGTCTGGAACTGAAGTTATTTGTATCGTTTTACACCGTTAATTAATTCGTAAATATTAAGCGCGTTGATGCATGCTGCACTCGTGGCTCTCGTGCATTACGCGCTCTCGGTGTCCACGTAGAGTGATCAACCGAACGGAATTAGTAACGATTTCCCACTTGAATCAACGTCACACCGACAGATATTCGCAAATGTGTTGCAGAACAATATCCGGCGAACGTGGATTTTCCCGCGTGTCATCGCACGTTACACTGATGTCAGCCGCGTCACAGATAGCCACGCGAAACAAAAAGAAAGACAGTCGTCCGTCTGCTGACCGGAAGAGGTCTACCACAATGGAAAAGACAGCGAAAACTCACGTGTCTCTCGAAAGGTAAAGTGCAAGGAAGCGGCTAACGAAAACAGTGGTATACGTGGCACCGGATTGGCCGGTGGCATACCTGACGACACGCACAGTGTGCGCACATATCGGCAACCTGTGCACCCACTAACCACTAACCGCCGAACCACGGGAGGCCAAGGTGTGCGCGCGCCAGGATAATATATGTATCTACGTGCGTTAACCACGTGAGAGCGGCCAGCATCTTTCCACGGAGCCCCTCTGGTGGGGACTTAACCTATGGACTGCTCTTTGTCTCCGTCTTTTTCTTGCATGAACCTTGAATCCTCGGGAAATAGCTGAAACACTTTAATATATCAGTGAATTTCAATGCAATCGTTGCATCGATCTCACGATTTTTATTATTTAGTAAAATTATTTTTAATCGATCGCTGTTCAAAGCTTCGCCATAGAAGAAAGTCAAAAAGGTGTATGTCTGTATAATATTTTTCTCTTTTTTCTTTTTTTTTTTTTTTTTTTTTTTTTT